CAGTAGTGTAACTCAGTTATAAACCTGTTGTTACATCCACAAAACTACAAGCAAGGGCCTTTGTCAAGGGGCTTCAGAGCTACAAGCAAGGGCCTTTGTCAAGGGGCTTCAGAGGCAGAGGTTACAAAGGTGTATAGATCATGTTTTAGGGTGGTTTATTGGGTGTAGCAGTGGAGTTATTGTTGTTTTATACACTGGTTACAGCATGGCAATCTGCACAAATTGCCTCCCTTTTTGTGTGGGTGAAAGGCACCAGTAGTTTCATCACCCTCAATTTCCTTTGTAAAACAAATTGAAAGGCTGACATAGCAATATGATCAGTGATATGAATCAAATTGGAAGTTTTACTCACTTTCCACTCATTGTTCAAACGCTTGATTTGAATCCAATTGGCTTGTGTGAACCAGATTTCCTTGGAGTGCCCCAACACCTTACAGTTTTGCTTGCAGCTCTGCCTTGTGATATCATTTTATAATTTGATCAACTCAAAGCATTGCATCAATAACCAAATTGGATAACATAAACAATGGCCTGATTGAGTTTTTTCAATGAATGACTCACTTCTCTTGCATTATTGATTTCATACTTGATGTTCCAATGGATCCCATAACCAGAAATCACAGGTTCTAGCTTTTTACCTTCTATTGCATTGGCATGTTGTTTCAAGTCCTATCACAAGGCAGCAGAGCCAGTGATCTTTTTCACAACGAATTCCAACTGTGAAATACTGCTTGTTAGTACTAATATTAGCTACTCAAACAAAATAAAAAATACACACATTTGAGTCAATTCATACAGCTTATTTGATTTGTTTCTGTTTGTGGAAGAAATCTTAAGTCTTCTTTTTGCTGGATGTTTGACTTGTACAAATATTGGAATCATCACCATCTTTTTCTTGCTTCTTTCCAGAATCATCATCATCCATATCCTTTTCTCCCTCATTAATATTGTGATCTGATCCCTCCCCATTTTCTCTGCAACAGGTTTCAGGGTATTTGAGTAGGGAAAAAATACAAGAAAGGTTTTCTTAAGTTTGGGTGGAGGAGGGGCCGCAAGGCCAAGTTTGTTCAAGCCAGAATTAACAACCAATTCCATCTTGTTACAAAAGCACTTAATCTTCATTTTATTTCAGCCCCAAGCAAGCTCTGATCCTTCAAGTTTGTCAATTTTCTGATGAATCATTTTGGTCATTGTGCTGTTGTTGGAACCTGGATGAGTTCTCTGGCAAAGCATGTATATATCACAATACAAATCAGATATATTGTTTCAATCATTTGTAAACAATGTTGAATTAATAATTATATTTCTTTCAAGGCCATGCTTCACCAATAAATTGACTATTGGATCTGCCAACAAGCTTCCTTTGTGGTACCTGGAAACCAATTTGATAGAAAGATGTTGGAATGTACAAAACACCAAGGAAGAAGGCACGTGAAGAGAAACCAGTTTAAACTAGGAAAAAAACAGTTTGAAAATCCGGCCGGGTTATCACCGCTCGGGGGTTCTAGCTCATCGGTAGAGCGCTCGCTTAGCATCGCTGGGATCGACTTGCGAGAGGTACTGGGTTCGACTCCTAGGTACTCCAGTTGTGTTGTTGACGTGAGGATGGGCAAACCCCTCAATTTTGCCAGGGTGAGTGCCGGCCGAGCTGCACAGTTAAGCTAGTGTGGAGAGGCCGTTGGCTTTTTAGGTTTTGTTAGTTGGGTCGGGCTGGCTGAGATGCGCCACATCCACATCGCTAATCATACTTGAGCAAGCCTTGTAATGCAAGCGCTACAAGCTGACGCCGGATGGTGTGTGGGCTCCTGGAGACCCAGATAAGTACAATTTTTTACTTTTTGTAGGAAGGAAGTGCATAATAAAACCTGAACGGGAGGCACGGTTGAAAGAGAGCCCCGGTGGGTTTCCCTGCCTCTGCAGCTAACATCGGCGGCGGGCCCAGAAGAGGTTTCGGAGACCCGCAGATTGACTGATGAGGTTCGCCAGACATGTGAACGGGTGTGCGTACTGCTCTTGGAAAGAGAGAGGGTGCGCCAGTTGTTCTCTCCTCTTCTGGCGCAGCCAATATGAATGAAGTTATCTCCACATAGGCTGGCCTCCTCCTCGTCTCATCCGTGCGGGTGGCAAGAGGTCGGTCGTGTCGACGCGTGCGTCACCTCATTTGAGCACCTTCTCCTCCCTCATCGCCGTGCCGTCGCAGCGGTGAACGGTGTGTGTGTGTGTGTGTGTGGGGGGGGGGTTGAACATAATTACACCGTTGAATTAGCTCAGTCAAGAGACTGCAGACACACTGAACCCCCAAAGCGCTTTCACAGGGCTCACGAGAGAGGGTCGATGGACCCGCGCCGCTCGATAGGCGCTCATGATACCCGGAGGCTATGACACAAGTAAAAGACACCGGCAGAAGTCGAGGTTGCGATCGAAAAGTTTTGCGACCAGTGTGCATCCCAGACAGGCGTTCAACAAGGGTATTATTGTATGTCCCGCTGTGGTGAACCGCCTCTCTCCTGCCCAGGACACCGGGTGCTGATGTTGAGGAGGAGATTGTATTGCTCAGTCTAAGGCCGTGCACGTAGGCTGAAAGAAACACATTTCGTCGTCATTCCCTTTTTTTTCTGTGTGTAGTGCGTGTGCAACAAGGAGACAAGAAAGTTCCATTGTTAGGAGATCTAAATAAGAGAGAGAGAGAGAGTAAGAAAAAAAAGCTCGTGCGTGGACGAAAGCGCTATTCTATTCAAACCAAAAAGGCTCAAACAAAAAAAGGGAAGCCCAACTGTGGGAAGTTTCATGGACAAACACAAAAAAAGGAAGATGGGGTGAATTTGTTTTACTAAGCGGCAGCAGCAGCCTTCAACTTTTTTTCCAACTTGCGCTGGCGTTTTCGCGCCTTAGACTCGGGGTCATGATCTTGGTCGGCGCGTTTGGAAGAGGCTTGAGTAGATCTCTTGTGCAAGACTCGCTGCAAGGCCCGTTTGGTTTCGCCTTCTGGCATCGTCTCCACGTTGTAGTACAATGGTGCGAAATCTAGTAGCCTTTTTGTGAACACCCATCAATATTACACCGTGAAGATACATTCCATGTTAGCACTCAGAAGTTCCACAATCGTAAGTATAGACCCGCAGATCGAAACTTACCATTCCGGCTTGACTTCCGTGCATATTCGGATGAAATTACGAGTGGTCAAGACGAACTATAAAAGACGAGGAATGATAATCACAGTAGAGTCAGTAAAGTGAAGAGGAACATGATAGAGATGATAATTACCTCATTGTACAAAACCCATTCGGGAGTATTTTCCAGTCCGCAACTGGGATGCAAGCCGACCACTTGACCATCCCGGGTAGTATAGACGCCCTTTTCCCTCTCCTTGTGCGCGACTTGCATGAAGTATCCGGTCGTGACAGCCATGCGGATGTTCTTGAAGTAATCCTTATGATTGTGATCGATAGAGACAAGGTCCAGATCGAACTTTTCCATCGTCCTCCTCAACTGGTTCCGTACGTTATCCGCCTGTAACATCGCTCTACTGGCGATGTAGTTTTGCCAGCACCATTTATTAGGATCTGAGCCTGTTATTTCCATGAAAAAAAGGAAACGTGTCATGTCCTTAGCCACTTCTCTTCCAGTCGTCTGAGGAGGATAGGCATCAACTTACTTTTCTTGTACCCATGAAATAAGTTCAAAAGCGTTAAGTGGTCACCTTCCGGGTGGGTGAATTGGGCCCTCGCATCATCAGCTTCCTTACGTTGATTGTGGGGTCGAAGAAATGGGTTGGGCACTAAGAACGCAAGATCAGCACCGTGGGTAAAAATAGAAATAGAAAGCAGGCAGGGTCATAATAATAGCTTACCGGACAACATGGCCGCAATGCTTAAAATTTCGTTACTGCATTTAAACTCGGGGCTAGAAATCAACATCTTGGACAATTGCGGGTCTAATGGGAATTCGGCCATGATTGCCCCAAGAGGGGTCAAGTCTCCTTCATCATCAAACGCAGCCAAGTAGTTCAATAGTTCCAGGGCTCTGATGACTGTTTCGGGTGCTGGAGGATCCATGTAGTCAAAGTGGACTAAGTCATCCACCCCCAATTTCTTCAATTCCAGTACCACACTGGCTAGATTCGACCTCAAGATCTCAGGATAAGTTTGGTCCTCCAGTTCCTTGACAAAACTACTTTCGGTGTATAATCGGAAACACTTTCCAGGCCGTGTACGACCGGCTCGACCTGCACGTTGTTGGGCAGAGGCTTTTGATATCGGTGAGACTAGCAAAGATTCGACCCGAATACGAGGATTGTAGATCTTCTGCTTCGAAAATCCTGGATCGATCACATAAACAATCCCATCGATTGTCAACGATGTTTCGGCAATATTTGTCGAGATAACAACTTTCCGGCCGGGGGGTCCGCCGGGAGTTAATGGAGGCGGTGGTGGATCAAAGATCCTTTGTTGTTGTTGTGGCGGTAGAGAGGAGTACAGTGGGACGCATTTCAATGGGCCAACCTGGGGAGAAGTCGAGAGGAGGTGATCGGCTTCAATACTGATCTTTCGACACGCATCTTCTATCTCTTCTTCTCCAGTTAGAAATACCAGTACATCGCCTGGCTCTTCGTCTCTATGAATCATCAAGACCGTCCGAATCGCGGCTTCGAGATAATCGGGTTCGGGTTCAGGTGTATAAAAGGTTTCAACCGGGAATGTGCGACCAGGAACTTTAAGCAGGGGTGCAGAATTGAAATAATTTTGAAACTTAGCCGCGTCAAGTGTGGCAGACATGACGATTATCTTCAAATCAGGGCGACGTTTGGCAACGTCTTTTAATAAGCCCATTAAGATGTCGGTGGCCAGAGTACGTTCGTGGGCCTCGTCTAGTATCAGGGTCGAATATCGCGAAAGTTTATGGTCATGGAGTGCTTCTCGAAGAAGCATACCATCAGTCATATCTAAATGTCAAGGGTTAATCTCAGCAAATATGAACGGAAATCATTTGGGTCTGTGATCAAAAGTCATTTAGGACTTTGATCGCGTTAAGAGGATCGAAAACGAACACTTCAAAATGGTTTTGGGACTGGTACAATCTTCAAATCTGATTGTATAGCCAACCTCTTCGCCAAGCTTGACGTCCATCTCATCGGCCACACGTTTCGCGACGCTCATAGCTGCTACTCGTCTTGGTTGCGTACAAGCAATTAGCTTATTTTTCGTGTGAGGAAGATCGCCATAGACTGCATATTGGGGAATTCTATGGGGATAATCAAATATTAAGTCAGCTCCATACTTGAATTGTTACAAGGGACGGGATGGAATCGGATTTAATTGGGGGTAGACTTAACTGAGTTGTTTTTCCTGAGCCTGTTTCGCCTTCCATGACCACAAACTGACTCTTGTTGTACATCTTGTAAAAGTCTGATATCTGATCGCCGTCGAGCAGAAAAGTCGACAGGCCATACGCGGGAGGAGGTTTTAAATTTTATCATGTTGAACGGGGAGCGAAACTGTCAGTGACATAAAAAAGGGCCAACCAAGCGCACAGAAATAGTTGTTGGTTTATGATCCAAAAGGCTGTGGAGTCACAGAGAGAAGTGGGCAAAAAAGGAGACAGAGATATAAAGATTTAGGAAAGAAAGATGAAAGCGAGGATTTGAAATGTTTCTTTTTTATATATTTTATTTATTTATTGGAATAATGACAGTACCTGTTTAAACACGGGCAAACTCTTGCGTTGTTGCAGAATAGCTCTATACTGCTGAGAGTAACGCTGGCCAGTGAATGGGTTTTTCGGGTGGGTCATTGCATGCAAGGCTTGTTCACCGGTGACCTTCCTGGGAATGAAGCCATCGAGTGCGCCCGATAAGTGGGCCAAGTATGGGTTGTCAGCGTCAGCGCCCATGGTTGTGGTTTGTTAGCTGTTTTGGAGGAGGTCGGATAGATCCCTTGATCCAATCTGAGCCAGTCTTAGCTCGTTCGTGGTCGTCAGAAGAAAGTAGATGGGTTGGTTTAATGACGGTCTGCGGAAACGGTCAACAAGAGAAACGCCAAAGTGAGTTGAGCCAAGAGGGGCTTACCACGAAAATGAATCAGCTAAACCCCTCATACACCAACGGCATCAACACTCGGGAAGTGTTACATAGGACACAGGTATGCTTATACCATGAGTCCTATTATAGTCAACTACGGCGCAGTTATGCTTGTACATAGAACCATACATATTGATAGTTCCACGAAGCGGGATACGATCATCACTTTATAACCTTAACGATCACAACATTATGATCCCTTAACGGATTTCTCGCTACATATCCCATCAACATTTAAAATTCACAACCCTTTTCCAAATCATTTCGACTATGGTAGTGACGTGAGGGTCGCGAGGTACCAACAAGAGAGAAACCTTGTTGCAAGTATCAGAAAACTTCTGTTGTATCTGTTTCGTCAAGGTTTAGCTTTTTCCTAGCCAGTTTAGGCGGATCTTTAAGTACGGACAGATAAACAGTCCTGAGTGTTCTCTTGCTTAACTTTGTTATTCTTGTCTTGTTTGTACAAGGCTTCCGAGACTTTTTTACTTTGTCAACTCCCATTCCATCAC